GGACCCAAATACAAGCAGTATGAACTCTGTTGTCACCTATAACCTTTCTGTGGTGAAGAAAAGATTGGATCGTTGTCTCCTGAGTGCAGGACAATGTAAGGCTTGTCTAGAAAATCTTTTTTTCAGTATACCCAACTGTTCTAAGATTGATAACCTCGGGCTACAGGTAATTCTAAAAATAATATTGACAAATTTATAGCAAAACAATCAAATTTAGAAATAGGCTAGTTTTAAAGAGGATACACTTCAAATATAATTTTCATGTTTAGAAATATAATTTTCATGTTTAGCTTTCTAGAAACCATTTTTTCACACACATCTTCCAACTCCTCTAGCACTCCCAATCAAAGATAATAATAGTTATCCTTTATGCCCTCCGTAACCAAAATGTTTGCCATACTGCAGTATACTCCAAAAAATTTTAAAGTAGATGGCTCAAATTAGCAAATGTGTTCTCAAAACTGCAGTTTTCTGATTCCTCAAACAAGGCAGGTATTTTCCACCGTAATGTTCTGTAAGATGCAAACTAACCTTCCAGGCGCTATAAACGGAATGAACGGTTTTTTCCAAACTATAACCGTCCTTGGTTTCTTCCTTTCTGGCGGCAAGGTCCTCAGGAATGCAGGGCCCGCCACTTGTCCAGGGGGCCCCGTTCGGGGATGTACTTGACTCCGCAGCCATCAGGGATGAGGCGCTTGGCCGCCACCTTGTCTTCAAACTCATCGGCGTTGAACTTGGTGAAGCCCCACTTCTTGGAGATGTGAATCTTCTGGCGTCCCGGGAACTTGAACTTGGCCCTGCGCAGGGCCTCGACCACATGCTCCTTGTTCTGCAGCTTGGTGCGGATGGACATGATGACCTGGCCGATGTGGACCCGGGCCACGGTGCCCTGCGGCTTCCTGAAGGCGCCTCGCATGCCGGTCTGGAGCCTGTCGGCGCTGGTGCACGACAGCATCTTGTTGATGCGGATGACGTGGAAGGGGTGCAGCCGCACGCGGATGTGGAAGCTGTCCTTGCCACAGCTCTTGACCATGTACTTGTTGGCGCAGATGCGCACGGCCTCCAGGGCTTCCGACGACAGCTGCTCGTACTCGTCCGACACCATGTGGCCACAGAGCGGAAACTCGTCCACCTTCGCCTTCTTCCGACCCAGGTCGAAGATGCGGATCTTGGCGTCGGGCACCCCCCGGCAGAAGCGGGACTTGGGGTACGGCTTGTTCTTACAGTACCGGTAGCAGCGAGCGGGGCGGCGGCCCATGGCGACGGCGGGAGCCCCGGCCGAGCGCCTCGATATCTATAATTTTACTGTGCAAAAGTTAAAACCTTCCTTTTAGAAAAAAAAGAAAATGGGAAGTGCTGTGGGATTCTCTGTATGTTACGTGTGTTGCTTGATTGGGTAATAAATAAAACACTGATTGGCCAGTATCCAGTCAGGAAGTATAGATGGGACAAAGGGAAGAGAATTGGTTGAAGCTGAGGGCTGAGGAGAGAGACCTGCCAGCCACCGCCATGACAAGTGAGATGTAAGGTACTGGTAAGCCACGAGCCACATGGCAAAGTATAGACTAATAGAAATAGGTTAATTTAAGATAAAAGAAGTAGATAGCATGAAGCCTGAGCCATTAGGCCAAACAGTTTAAATAATATAAGCATCTGTGTGTTTATTTTATGTGGGCTGTTGGACTGCCGGGGCGTGGCGGGACCCAGAGAGAAAACTCTCTAGCTACAGAGGCACCTCAACAGAACAGCTGCAGCTTTGACCATCCCTAGCTCCCTGCCAAACTAACCATGTAATATTCTCAACCCTGCTCTGCTCTTGAAGAACTCTGAGGACCTGGATAGGCCCATTGCTTCTCAGAAATTCTTACCTCCTGAGCCCCACTTCTGAAAGCACCAGCTGAAGCCTTCCTACTTCAGGAACCTCCCCATCCCTTTCCCAGGACTCACTGCGCTTTCTCCAGGACCATTTCTTGATGTGTGACATGGAGACTGAAAGCCATCTTCCTTCTGCCTCCCCTTGGTCTGCCTGTGCTCTCCATCCTGTCTCCCAAGAATCCTGTTCAGTCTAGTCAGCATGTCTGTAAGTGAAACATGAGACACTGCACAAATGCCCCAATGACAATTGGCGTTGCCACAACACTGGTGACATCACATAGAATGCCA